ATAATTGGAAAGAGTTAGGGGGCTACTAATAAGGATAGGGGTAGGTAGAAAAATAATTGGAAGGGTTTAGGGGGGCTACTAATATGGATGGGAGGAGGTAGAAAAATTATTGGAAGGGGTTAGGGGAGTACTAATATGAATGGAAGGGGTAGGGTGGGTTCTAATATGCATGGAAGGGGTTAGTGGGTACTAATATGCATGGAAGGGGTTAGGGGGTACTTATATGCATGGAAGGGGTTAGGGGGGGTATTAATATGCATGGAAGGGGTTGGTGGGGTTCTTATGTGAATGGAAGGGGTAGGGTGGTTCTAATATTCATGGGAGGGGTTAGGGGGTACTAATATGCATGGAAGGGGTAGGTGGGGTTCTTGTGTGAATGGAAGGGGTAGGGTGGTTCTAATATTCATGGGAGGGGTAGGGGTGGTTCTAATATTCATGGAAGGGGTAGATGGGGTTCTAATATAAATGGAAGGGGTAGAGACGGGTAGTAAAATGTATGGAATGCACTTCTGAAAGTGTCACTGAATGGCAGTTAGGAAGCGTTTTATTGCTCCCTGCTCGCACCCTCCTATTTAGTCATTTTGACGAAATAGGGGGCGCAGCATCAGGAGGTTCCCGGTGCTGTATCCGGGTAAGTAAAATCCCTTCCCTCTAGTGACCCTTTAATGTTATTATTTTATCATTTATATAGCACCAGCAAATTCTGTAGCGCTGTACAATGGGATAAACAACTCCTAGTTTACGGAATAAGAATATTGTCGGGGAGTGAAAATGCTATCCCCCCCAGATTTTAGGGGGTTCCTACGCCCATGAGCTATTGGCAGTACTTACATTCAGGTCCAGTAATAGTAATACTAATAATACTAATAGGCAACCTAGGAGGCCACCTTAGGACACACCAACAGGGAGGGCTCAACATATAACGATACTACCGCATTCCCTGTGGTGTACTACCGCTGTGCACCACCTTCTGCCAGCTACTCTAGTTAGTGTGAAACTTCAGAAGAAGGTAGAGGATCCGCTATCCAGTGTGACAGAGAGCTTCTTATAATAACTGGCAGTGGTGAGAAATGCGAGCAGATCCCTTGACCCTGTCAGACTGGGTAGAGAATAAAAAATAAAATCCTCTCGTTTGGTCTACAAGGTCTACAGCAGAGCTTTAGTGCAAAAATAGGGGAAGTAAGAGTCACAAAAAAGGAGGTAGCATTAAAAAAGGGTTAGGGAAAGAATAAGAGCCACAAAAGTGGTATTACAGCCACAAAAAGGGAAGGGGAAAGAGGAACATGCATACAAATGCTGCCTGTGAATATCTCATACAACTATTTACAAGGGTAATGTCAAGTATTGCATCTTCCTAACAATCACTTGATTGATCTTCTATCTCCATATTGATTGGTGAAACCTCTGTGAAAATGATGGAAATGCATTAGAACTTGGTAGAAACTGATACCAAATCAGACCCTGGTGTGCTTAATGTTCAGCTGGAAAGCCAGTCATTCCAGTCTAGTATATACTGAGTTCAAGTAGAAACCTCAATCCTCATTAAAGTACATGGGACCCATGTTTGCAGCATCTTTGCACAATTTGCATGAATAATGGGGCTCTGGGGAGCTATCACAGATGAGACCTGGCAACAAACCATAGTAATGCACAATGTACAAACATCTACTATTTACTATGATGAGCACGTTTCTAAAAAGCATGAGCAATGAAGACAGTCCCTGAAGAAAAGAGATGCATTTTGAACTTGCAGAAAGTCAATTTAACCGGACTGGGGGATATTTAGATGATGTTAAAGAAATTATCTAGTACATTCCTTTAATTGTACATCTAAATATAATTGTATGTAATCTTGTGTTCTGTGGGCACATATACATGAAATGGAAAAATAATAAAATTATTGCAAATGTAAAAAATAGAATTGTGCAGATTTTTTTTTAGTAAATTTCTTTTATACTATGTGAACATGAGAAGATGCATTTATCTGAAAAGGTCTGATTTTTATTGCACGTGATATTCAATTTTCTTTTCTAATAATTTCAAGTGTATTTACATTAATTTACAATTGAAATTTCCCACTCAAGACTCAAAAAAGGTAACATCTGATAGCTGATACAATGGTTCAGTTACATGGACACAAATAAAATCCTTCTTTACATTATTTCATTTAGTGTTAGTAATTAAATAAGGTTTTACTTTTTCCCAATGTTGCTCAATTTAGTAGTCACCCTTTAGTGCGTAACATCATTTCCAGTGAATTATTTTTTCATGGCTTTAGTGCTAGATAAGTGGTACATCAGCTTAATGAAGTGGTCTGGGTGCCAGGTCCAGCTAGGGTTAACCCATTTTTTCATAAACATAGCAGTTTCAGAGAAACTGCTATGTTTATGAATGGTTTAAGCCTTCCCCTATTTCCTCTAGCGGCTGTCTCATTGACAGCCGCTAGAGGCGCTTGCGTGCTTCTCACTGTGATTTTCACAGTGAGAGCACGCCAGCGTCCATAGGAAAGCATTGATAATGCTTTCCTATGCGACCGGCTGAATGCGCGCGCAGCTCTTGCCGCGCGTGCGCATTCAGCCGATGGGGAGGAGAAGAGGAGGATCGGAGGAGGAGAGCTCTCCGCCCAGCGCTGGAAAAAGGTAAGTTTTTCCCCCTTTCCCCCTTCCAGAGCCGGGTGGGAGGGGGACCCTGAGGGTGGGGGCACCCTCAGGGCACTATAGTGCCAGGAAAACGAGTATGTTTTCCTGGCACTATAGTGGTCCTTTAAAGGGAAACTTCAGTACCAGGAAAACAATCAGTTTTCCTGGCACTGCGGGTCCCCTCTTCCTCCCACCTCCCAATCCCCGGTTGCTGAGGGGGTGAAAACCCCTTCAGTCACTTACCAGAGGCAGCGACATGTCCCACGTCGCTGCTTCTTCCTCCGCCGCCGCTCCTGCTCTGCATTATGTCGGCCAGTGGGCGAGACTGATCCCGCCCACCAGCCGGGGAGACTTAATGCGCATGTGTGGCAATGCTGAGCATGCGCATTAGAGCTCCCCATAGGAAAGCATTGAAACAGCACATTGAAACTTTTAACAGCACAACCGGGGGCACTTCTTGTTGGCAGCGGTCGGAGGAAGTGATAGCTTGTCATTTCCTCCCAGAAAGAAGTGAGGCCGCGTAGGAAAGCTGGAGGAGAGGCCAGAGAGGAGGTGGCCGGGCCAGTAGAGACAGAACCTAATGCCCAACTACCTCAGTCAGCACCTGGACCCCTTGCATCCAAAAGGTAAGAAACTGAAGGGTGGCTATAAAAGTGTAAATTGTGTCCTGCATTGTTGTGTGTTTGTGTGTGTATTTGTATGTCTCAGTGTGTGTGTTTGTGTATGTCTGTACATGTGTCAGTGTGTGTCTGTGTATCTGTATGTGTGTCATTCTGCATGTGTGTCAGTGTGTGTGTGTCTATGTGCCTGCATCTGTATGTCTGTCAGTGTGTGTATCAGTGTGTGTATATGTGTGTCCTTATGTGCATCAGTGTGTGTATCTGTGTGGTTGTATGTTAGTGTGTGTGTGTGTGTGTCTTTATATCTGTATGTGTGTGAATGTGTGTATCTGTGTATGTATGTGAAACACAGTGTGTGAGTAACATTGTATGTGTATATGTGCATACGTCTCAGCATTCCAACACTACACACAAATATACACCTGCATTAACACAAATACACTCCATGCAGAAACATGCTTATGTTTACGTGTGGGAGTTGTACGGCAGATGAGGATCTATCTTTAGGCCACCATTGCTATTGGAGGTGCGGGGGGTGCTCCCAAATGATTCTTGCACCAGGAACCTCTCTATGTTAGATCCACCACTGGCTGAACTTGATGAACGCATGTTTTTGTTTTTTTAACCTATTTAAGTATGTTGTATACTGGTTTATACTGAGTTATATGCCTTGGTAAAATAAAGAATTAACATCAAGTAAGCAAAAGAAAAAAAATTATGTGTTAATGCCGTTAACTCTTCCTGTGGACGTTATTCCCACTATTCACTATGTGTGAGTTTTGAAATATAATTTTTTTATGTGAGTAAAATTAGTATTACTGTAACGTAAATAATACTTACTTTTTACAAACAAATAGCCCATATTGCAGTTTGCACAGCAGACGTAACAGTCATCTCCTATAATATTCCTGTAATAAAATCTAAATACTAATTCAGTCAGTTTCTTAGTTAATAAGAGCTCTCTAGATGCTTAATTTTCATTCATACTTCACTAGTCAATTATATTGCGTTTTAGCCATTATTTATTGTTTGTTATGATTGTGCAGCTAGCTACCCAGATGTCTACATATTTATTTGAGCACTTTGGGATTATTTTGCTCTGCCTGTTGAACTTTATAATAAATCCTGCATATGCCATAGATAACTTGTAACAGTTGGCATACCAGAAAACAGTCATAAAGATGGGAGACGGCAGATTTGCTCGCTTGCGTTATAATGCCAAGGTGAATGAATGGGATCTACTGTGTATTGTCGCTTGATGTAAGAGAGGGCAGATAAAGGGAGGTGCTCTCAGCTGGCACAATTGCATCTGTTGACAGCCTAGAATTTGGTTACCCATTCTGAACTGTATCTTGGGTATCTGAGCTATTTGCAGACCCAGGTCCAGCGCTTACTTGTGACTCTGCCTGGATTAAGAGTCAGAGTTCTGTTGCTCAAAGGATCATGATTGCTCTTCCTGAAACAATGGAACAAATACACATAACCTATGGAACAGTACACACAACCAAAAACATCTGTTACACGGGTTGTGTTTTGCTGAAGTTCCTAAACTCTAATGGGAAGGGAAGTAAAACAGTGTATGTAGTAGTGAAATAAAAAGTAGGAAAGCTGTGATATCGATATGACTGGATATGAAGGATAATGCTTATAAGGCGAGAGTTTACAAGACAAATAAAACAGCATGAATGATGGGGAGAAGTATCGTGGAATGGAAGCAAGGTAGAATGTAGAACAGGATGTTCCAAACTCTAACCCTCCAGATGTTGCTGAACTACAACCCCCATATTTCTTTGGCTATTTATTTTATTCAAAGAATCATGGGAGTTGTAGTTCAGCAACATCTGGAGGACCAGAGTCTGAAGAACCCTGATGTAGAGTAAAAGAGCTGGAGTTTTAATCAAAAAAATTTCTTTTGAAAAAGCAGTCTTATTCTGTCTTGGAGTGATGGGAATGGAAGTGCTATCAAAAGTGGTTTTATCAATACATTTTGGAGAAAGAATCTTTACGTGTAAGATATTGCCTTTGGGTTTTCCTTTTTTCATTTGTACAGACAAAAGAAACAATTTGGACAGGCAATTATTTTGATAGCATTATTGCCTTTAGCTAAAGATTGTCTTAAAATTATGTAGATAAAGATGATGAGGGAACAGGGTTTTTTCATTACTCATTTAATATTTGTTTTTTAAGCTTTCTGTGTATATTCTACAATCTGGTGAAATGTATTATGATCAATGTTCTTATTTATTAGACATGTGCAATTAGTTTTTTTCCGAATGTACATTCGGACAAATTTCGAATTTTGCTTACGAATGTCCGAAGTTTGAATTGCCAAATTGCCGAACCAAACCGAATTGCTGAAGTCCCAAATTGCCGAAGTCCCGAATTGCCGAAGTGGGTTAGGGTTATGGTTTGAGTTTAGGGGTTAGGGTTTCGGTTAGGGTCTGAATTACCGAAGTTCTGAAGTGGGTTAGAGTTAGGGGTACGGTTAGGAGTAGGGTTAGGGTTTAGGGTCCGAATTACAGAAGTTCCAAATTGCCCAACTCACAAATTTCGGAAGTGCTGAACCAAACCGAATGCCATTGGTCCGAATTGCCGAAGCAGACAAATTTTTTTACTTACCCAAATTTCCGAACCGAACCAATTTTTTGCCCATGCACATCCCTATTATTTATTGTAGCACTTAGAGGCCAATTGAGAAGTTTAGTTTTGGTGGTTTGGTTTTGGTAGTACAAGATACACAAAAGGGAAATCAAGTTAAAAAAAAAGCACTGTGAATAATTAAAAGTGAAAATAAAATACCATAAAGGGCAAGCAGCACTAATTGAGTGAAAAATAGCTCAAAATACACTTAATATAAGAACAACAGAAAATTTTAAAAAGTGTGCTGTGCCTTTAAGAATAGTGATTCAAATGTACATCTTAGTAGATACATATATACATGAAGTGCAAAAAGTAGGTCATAAGTAGGTTCAAAATACACTCATGTGATAAAATGTATCTTCCAAGTGATCTCCAAGTGATACAGTGTAGAAACAACATTAAAATCACGAGCTTTCAGGAGAGGATCCTATAGAGAGCTTCTTTCAGTGCGTCCTGACGTCGTGCGTCGTGCGCCTGAAACGTGATCACGTTTCAGACGCATGACGCACGACGCACTGAAAGAAGCTCTGTATAGGATCATCACGCCATTCTGGTGCCCGCAAAGACCACAAGTGCTAGCCAGCGTGTCAGGAGGGTCTGTGGACTGCTGTTACCTGGATCGAGCTTGTGATTTTAATGTTGTTTCTACTATCAATAAAAGTTTGAATTTCATCCAGCTGCCGTCCTTCCTATGTTATCGTGGTCCTGCATCTTGATATTTCTGGGCAATTACAGTGAGAGCAAACTTATACTGCTCCATTCTTGTGAGTTGATTGGTGTATTTATTTTCTTTTTAGTGTTATTAGTAACAGATTTACACTATATTCCTTTTTATTTTCTAGTCTCCTTTTGCTTTGGTCTAAGCCACCCAATATTTGGGAAAATATATTCAAGATATTTATGTAAGTGTTCCCTTTTTTATTTTTTTTATACACTGTATCACTCGGAGATCACTTGGAAGATACATTTTATCACATGAGTGTATTTTGAATATGCACCTTATGACCTACTTTTTGCACTTCATGTATATATATATCTACTAAGATGTACATTTGAATCACTATTCTTAAAGGCACAGCACACTTTTTTCCTTTTCTGTGGTTTTGGTAGTACAAATAAATATTTAGGCACAAGGTAGTGGTGGATGCAAATTTAAAATGGGGTATAAATGCTGTAAGCTTTTGGTTAGATTTTATGACCCCACAGAAGAATCAATATGTTATTATGATTGTGGTGGTAATCATCTGTATTTGTGTTGTTTTAAAAGGTTGTCAACACGTGCTGGTCCACCAAAAGAACACTTTCTCAAGGGCAAAGACTAGTGTGAGCATCCAAACAGGCCGATTATGTGAGGCTGGTTTTGAGTAAAGGTTACATTTTTCCCCTTTTACAAGAGCTGGTTGTGTTACATTTGAAAGTTTATCTTCCATTTAACAAGATTTGGGAACTTAAAAAGAAGACTAGCATAGGAAGTATTGAAATACTTTTTTTCCATTTTCTCCTTTTAAAGACTTTTGTTTCACACCCGTGGATTTTCCAAGAATGTTTACCAAGAATAGTTGGGTTCTTTCAGACTCATTCATCATGCATCTTTTACCAGAGAAGGCTTTGTTGAATTATAAGTTTGAAAGGGATGATTGCTCCATGTTCTACTCATCTTTTGACAATGTTGTTTATTGGATTAGATTTTATGGATGTGTTGTGTTTTTTTGTTTTTTTTTATTATTCTTTATGTTTGCGTTTGAGTGTCAGAGAAGTAACAAATATTGCAACATGAGCATGACTAGGAATATGCACAATTTGTAAGAAAGACAAGAATGTGGGTACATCAGTGCTGTATAATACTGAGATGTTAGCTGTAGACAAAAATAGAGCAGCATGTAGAGATACATCTCTTTATCTAAGGTAAGAATTTTGTCAAGCAGTATGCTAAAACAATACTGATTTAAAGAGTAAAGATACTGCAAGAGTACACGTAAATCATATGTCAAGAACAAAAAGATTGATAGTGGGTCAAATAATAGATGCAAGAAAAGACTCCCACAAAGGCCCAAAACAAAAGATAAATGAAGATACACAGAGAGGCACCCTGTTGAAGACTGCTGCAAAGGCCATCTCAGCCCAAACCTATCCAAGAGATGATATGGAAGGCATAGAGAAGTGGAGCATGGAGCTTTTCTAGTTAAGGACCTCCCCCACAGGACCAGGCCCGGTTCGTTGCCAGCTTCTGATGTTGAGTAAGTATTCCAGACCACAGTCCTGAATAGATCACCTGATAGTTAGCTCTCTGCACCTTCCAGTCAGTATGAGTTTCTCGAGCTTGAAGGCTGCTGTGTGGTGGTTGGTGCTATTTGGGGATATGCGTCTGCTCATGTCTGGAAGTCTTTGTGGCTGCTGCTTGTCAGGCTCCGGGCAGGCAAATAGTAGAGCACTGCTTTGCTCCTCGAGGCATTTCCTCTGCTCAAGTTTCACGCAGAGTTGGGCACATATCAAATGCCTGTAGGCTGTCCACAAAAGTCCTTTGAATCCTCCCACTTCTTTTTGAATCAGGATCATGTCAGGTAGCAACAAACGAGACACCAGGGGACTAAGTCGGTATGGCAGGACAGGATTTTAAAATCGGGACTGTTTTGCTGAAATTGGGACAGGCATGTCTATACAGCTATTTAGGGACAAAAAAACCCAAGTCAGGTATGATTTCAGTCCAAACAGAGTTGAGAGAGTTCATACACCTCTGTTGTAGTATTCCTTAGCTAGCAATGAAACTCCTATAAACGAACAGTTTTGATTAAATTACCATCCATTTTCTTAATGGAAATCTTTCATGCATGGCAAACTTCCATATTAATCTGTAAATAATTGTATGTATACACTGTGCTTGCCAAGCAAACCATTCTGGGACAGATCAGAGAGGACCTTGACTGAAGCAGATGTGAGCACATGCATTCAATGTGCTTGCACCTGTGGTTTGACTAAAAGTGGATGTGAGCTTTATGTTATGTCCAAATAGAATATTTACAATACAATTCACAGACAAAGGACAGATGGGGCTTTCATTAGATACCATGTTTATGTACAATACATTTCACAAATGTAATCTTGTGAAGAAGGTTCTAGGCTCCAGGCACAAGAAAACACAAGAAAACCAAACTGGCCACTATTCTTCCTCTTTGTATACATAGGGTTAGAATAATCTGATCATTTTTAATTTTATTTTATTTTCCATTACTCACTCTGACTGACACATATAAAGGCCAGGGTGACAAATTATTCAGTGTATTGTTGAACACTTAATTTTAACAGCTACCATCATACATAACTTTCATTTAACTAATGGTGTTTAGTGGGACTTTGTCTATGACTTGTTGCTGGATACACCATGTCAAGCACAAAATGAGCCTCCATGTTAGAATGGGAAGGACACACAGCATAATTCAACAGCTTTGTGGTCCTGATGCAGGTTTGGGAATGTTTTTTTACCAGATAACTGGAGAAAATATTGTAATTTTCTTCACATTTTATTTAACGCTATTTTTTTTCATTTTCATGAGACTACATTGATGAACTAAGACTTGCATGTCTTACATTATTATTGCTAATGTTGCAATACAAAGCTGATAGAGAAATATGTGTTTCCCTTTTTAACTTTCAAATACATTTTTAAATTTCTAAGTATTCACTTAGCTCACTAACTTTTCCAAAGTTCACTTGGCAGCAGAGAAGGTTTTTTTTAAAATGGCTGACACCTTGGTTTGCATGTTGAAACCCCAGACATTGGCAGCCACTCACATCACATCCCAATACCCCAAATAATCAAAGAATTGAGACTGTGTAAAAATAACTTTTCCCATTTGTACCATTTTCTTGTAGCAAACTGTTAGTTCACTAATACTAATCCTGTCTAACCCAGACAGTGATGAGATTGATGGAGGTGGACTAGATCACTGCTCTCAGTCTACCTTTGAGATCTAGGTTGAAAGTGTATCACAAAAGACAGAGAAAACAGATGCTGCTATTCTCAGTGCGAACAAGGCTCTGAGGTCAGAAGCATCTCCTGGATGTATACATAGTGATGTAGGAATAATAATAATAATAATGGTATGTTGGCTAGTAAACAAAAATAGAATAAATAATAATGAGACCAAAATAAAGTATATTCAAGTGATACCAATACTACGATGCATCAAGAGATTTATTTATTTATTTATAAAATATTTTAC